GACCTTAAGTTCGTGATCCCAATTTATATGTTGACTTGATGTTTATGCTTGTCATACATATATGGCAATTAAGGTGGTAATTTACATTTGGTTGTTCATATATCTTTCCCCTTTTCAATTTTTGCATATAAATGAAAAATAAATTGATCGTCAATATATGTCACCATATAGAGGTACACATAGACATATGTGTTGAGTATGTCTTTGTATTCCACATCGGAACTTTTATAAAGAAGTATCTCCTCTTGATAGTTACAAATATAGTGGATTCAAGTGAGTTTAATTGTGCTAGGGGCATCAATCCAAGTGCCATATGCACCAGTCCATGAGAGTTTTGGCAGGTCCCACGCCCCAGTCTAAGAGAGGTTTTGGTTTGGCATCAAACCAAAAGAGCAAGTCATGGGGCTTTTGGGTCATTAAGCATTTAGTGCTATTTAGACTCTTTTGTGTTTTCAGTTTTAGGTTCCTTTTGGACTTGGAAATTATTTTCTAGGATTTTGTATTCTCTTTTTTGTACTCTCTTTCTATTATAGTAAATCTGCTATTGCTTCGCTCGTAGATGTAGGTCAATTAGACCGAACCACGTAAATTTCATGTTTCTCTGCTTGATTTATTTGTTTTGTTATTGTCATTATTGAATTGCCAACAACCCTATTGTTCTCATTGGTCAATTTTTCGGAACAAACCTAACAAATTGATATCAAAGTTTAAGATTTCAGATTCAGCTTCAGGTTTTGGGTCATGGTTAGATTTTTGGATTCTTGATGACAATAACAGGTTTTGGGTGCTACATAGAGTGAAGAAAAAAAAATTTCTTTGGAGTTCAGTTGAGTTTTAAAGAAGAGTTATTTGGCCCGTTGGAACTCGTTAAGGGTTTTGAGAAGAAAGTGGAGCAAGATTACTATATTCATGGTTTTTAACCCGTTGGGATCTGTTGAACCTTTTGTTAGATTTAGCTTGTTGGGACCCATTGACCCTTTGTATCTTGGTTTGTTAGTGGTTCGTTGTGGTTCGTTGGGACATTTATGGTTCGTTGAGATTCGTTGGGACTTTTATGGAGAAGGTGGAACTTGCTTGCTATTTGTCTACTATTTATCGATGTTGGATATACGTCAAGGTGGAGATTTGTTGAGTGTGTCTTTATGTCCCACATCGAAACTTTTATAAAGATGTATCTCCTTTTGGTGGTTATAAATATAGTTGACAGGGTGTCGAGCCTGTGCAATAATAATTACCTACTCAAGAAAAATACAAATTTTGTATATAGCGGTGAGCAGGGTCGAATCCATAGGGACTGAAGATAATTCATTTCTTTTAAAGTCCAAAGTATGGGTGGTTTTTTGGAGAATATAAAATAACTAATTAACTAACCAATAAAACAACTAGTAGAAATAAATAGAAATTAATCAATAACCAATATGACTCTAGCCAAAGGTACAACTTTTCAGACACGATCCATTCAACTGATCATCGATACAAAGATAATTCAATTACTCATTATCAGATTGGTTATAGTTGTCATACACGCAATGAACAACCAGCCTTTCCTTAATTTCTCGATAGTTAAGGTACGACCGTTAACTATTTCTCTAACCAAGAAATAACCCTAGGTAGGACCATAGGATTTAATTACTCGATTGCATTAATAATTAGAAAAGTCCAATCCTAACCAACAAACACGCTACGAGGGTTTGTTTAAGTTAGATCACACGTTTCCCTAACATGAAACCAATCACGCTAGTCGCCACTGGTATTAATCAATTGAACAATTACGGATTCAATCAATTAATTTGGCATTAGATCATTAGGTTAATTCGAATATCGGGCCCTTGACATTCAAATAACATAACAAGCATAAATAATTAAATCAGGTAACGTACAAATACCAATGAATAAAAGAAATAAATAAAATTTATTCGATCTCACAGATATTTGGAACCGCACCTTCAAGTTGGCCTTCGACTAGATGAGAAACTTAGCCACGCCTCATGAGAAAATTTCTAAGTAATTTTACTGAGATCCAAGCCATCAAAGGAACCAAGAAAGAATAAAACTAAACTATGCTAAAAACTAAGCTAAAACTATTGATAAGAGAAAAACGATAAAATAAGAACCACGGAAAAACTCCCAATTCCCCAAAGATAAAGCCGCGGCCAAAGGAAAAGAATTGTCTCCTAATCTAAAACAAATTTCTTCACTTCTCTCCGTGGTCCCGCCGGATAAGGAACAAAACCAATCCTCTGTACGTTTGTTTCCTTTTAAGTCCAATGACTAATGCCTTTCTTTTCTCCGTGGTCCTCACACAATTGAGAGCAAAAGTCCTCCCAAAGCTTCCTGCACCAACCGAGGCTTCCCTTCTTGTTTTGTTTCCCATTACTTGTAGGACTCCAATCTCCTAATCAGCAAGGGAAATGCAATCTCTTTGTAGCACCATGTGGGTCCTGTTGTTTGAAATCTCAATTATCTCTAAAAAGTCTCTCATTTTTGTAGTTTTCTGTTCCATTCCCTGAAATTAAATCCAGATACCATATATAACCAAATATAAGTAGATATTAACAACTAAAACAATATTTGGCAGGGACAAAGAGAAAATTAATAATAAAATAACTGACAATTAAGACCCTATCAATAGTGGAGTTAAGTTAGTTTAATTGTACTAAGAGCATCAACCCAAGTACCATATGCACCAGTCCATGAGAATTTTGATGGGTCCCACACCCCAATCTAAGAGAGGTTTTGGTTTGGCATCAAATCGAAAGAGTATGTCATGGGCCTTTGAGCCATTAAGCATTTAGTGCTATTTAGACTCTTTTGTATTTTCAGTTTTAGGTGCCTTTTGGACTTGAAAATTATTTTCTTGAGTTTTGTATTCTCTCTTTTGTACTCTCTTTTTGTTATAGTAAATTTGCTATTTTTTCACTCGTGGATATAGGTCAATTGGACCGAACCATGTAAATTTCGTGTTTTTCTGCTTGATTTATTTGTTTTCTAATTGTCATTATTGAGTTGCCAACAAGGGCCTTGTTTGGATTAACTGTTTTTGGGGGGTGTTTTTCAAAAACTTTACAGTAATTGCGTATATGAAAAACTTTTACTTTAGATTTTTTTGGATTATTTTAGAGAAATTTTTAAAATATATTTTTGAGTATTTTTATAATTTATAATTTTTTTGGGATATTTTTTTAAAAATTTTACACGACCCACCACCATTCCTTTTTTTTTACTCCCCCACTCTCCTTTCTCTTCCTCTCCTCCTCCTCTCTATTTCCTCCCCCTCCTCCTCCTCCCTCTTTCTTCTCCCTACTCCTCCCTCCCCTTCTTCCCCCCAGCCCCATACCATTCTCTTGCTCACGGGTGGTGGCTGCGACTTTAGCCACCACTCTAACCACGACTGTCTTGGTCACGGCTTCTAGTCACGATCAGATTTGATAATGACTAGGAAGGTAGCGGTCAATGGAAGGGAAGGAAATTGGGGGGCGAGAAAATGGAAAGAAGAAAGAATGAAGGAGAATGAGAGAGAGACGGAGGACAAAACAAGAAGTAGAAGGAGAGAGGGAGGAAAGATGGACGGAAAGAGAGAGAGAGAGAGAGAGAGGGGAGAGAGGGTCATGGGTATGGGGGTGGTGGCGGTAAGGTGGTGGCCGTGGTGGTGGAGAGTGATGGATAGTGGTGTATTTATATATATATATATATATATATATTTGGAGTTATTTTTTGATATATTGTATGGATATGATGTTTTTGGAGTTGTTTTTGTTTATACATTAATGTAGTATTATATATGAAAAACTTGTTTTTCAAAAATTGAAAAATCCAAATAGAGTCCTTATTGTTCTCGTTGGTCAATTTTCCGAAACAGATCTAACAAATTGATATTAGAGTTTAAGATTTTAGATTCAGTTTCAAGTTTTGGGTTATGGTTAGATTTTGGATTCTTGATGACAATAATAGGTTTTGGGTGCTACAGAGAGTGAAGAAAAAAAATTTCGTTGGAGTTCAGTTGGATTTTAAAGAAGAGTTATTTGGCCCGTTGGAACTCGTTAAGGGTTTTGAGAAGAAGGTGAAGTAAGATTACCGTGTTCATGGTTTTTAGCCCGTTGGGATCTGTTGAACCTTTTGTGAGATTTAGCTCGTTAGAACCTATTGACCCTTTTGTATCTTGGTTCGTTAGTGGTTCGTTGTGGTTCGCTGGGACTTTTATGGTTCGTTGAGATCCGTTGGGACTTTTATGGAAAAGGTAGAACTTGTTTGCTATTTGTCTACTATTTACAGACGTTGGATACACGCCAAGGTGGAGATTTGTTGAGTATGTCTTTGTGTCCCACATCAAAACTTTTATAAAAAAGTATCTTCTTTTGGTGGTTATAAATATAGTGGAGTTAAATGAGTTTAATTGTGTTAAGGACACGGTCCAAATGCCATATGCACCAGTGCAAGAGAGTTTTGTGGAGCCCACGTCCCAATTATGGGTTTTGAGCCATTAAACATTTAGTGCTATTTAGACTCTTTTGTGTTTTCAGTTTTAGGTACCTTTTGGATTTGAGAATTATTTTCTAGGGTTCTGTACTCTCTCTTTTGTATTCTTTTTCTGTTATAGTAAATCTGCTACCCCTTCGCCCGTGGACGTAGGTCAATTGGGTCGAACCACGTAAATTCTTGTGTTTCTCTATTTGATTTATTTATTTTGTTATTGTCATTATTGAGTTGGCAAGTGTCCTATTGTTCTCGTTGGTTAATTTCCTGGGACCAAACCTAACAATATGTATTTATACATACAGAACACGAATGTGGCATTTAGATTCATGCATTTAGTTAATTACAAAATAACATTTTAAAGGTGCGAAGAGCAAAGATAGCAAAGTAGTTTTCCGTGCAACAATTACTATTGATAGGGTGTTAATTGTTGGTTATTTTATTATTAATTTTCCTTTTTTTTCCTTGCCAAATATTGTTTTAATTAGTAATATTTATTTATATTTGGTATTTGGACCTACCTACAGGAAGGGAAACTAAAAAGTGCTAAAATGGGGGACCTGTTGGAGGGAATTGCTCCACACGTAAAAGAGTCCAAAAAGCCTCATAAAACTGGCCTACATGAAGCTACAGGCGGATTGAATTTCTTTTGGCTGATTAGAAGGGTTGCTGACTAGGACTCTTACTAGCAAGAGGAAACACAAAGGAGAGGAAATTTGGCAGAGCCGCAGCTCTTGTACTCCTTTTTACCTTCAATTTCGTGGGGACCACGGAGGGAAGTTGGGCAATTTGTTTTAGATTAGGAAACAATTCTTTTCCTTCGGTCGGGCAATTATTCATGGGCCGTAGCTTTATATTTGGGGAATTGGGGAGTTTTTCAGGGAAGGCTCTAACTTTATAGTTTTTCTGTATCTCAATTTGGGGGACGATAGCCGCAATTACTTCTGTAATTTTGCATGGGATTTCCTCCATGAAGATGAATTAAATCCCTTCGTCTAGTCGAGGAGCAACGGATGACTTGGTTCTACTAAATTTGTGAGATCGAATTAGTTTTTATTTATTTCTATTATTCACTGGTATTCGTCTATCTTCTGCTCTATGTTCATATGGTTGTTTTATTATTCGATTATCTAGCGCCCGGATTCTAGATTAAGTCAATAACCTGAAGCCAATTAGGGTAGTTAAATCCATAATTGTTTAATTATTCTAAACTGGTGGCAATTGACATGATTGGATTTGTGTCAGGGAGATAGACAGGCTAACTTAAAGAGACCCTCGTAGCGTGTTGATTGGTTAGAATTATACTCTTCTAATTATTCATGCAATTAGGGAATTGAACTTCTATGGTCGTACCTAGGGTTATTTCCTGATTAGAGAAATAGTCAACGGTCGTACCTTGACTATCGACAAATTGAGGAAGAATTGGTTGTTTGTCGCGTGTATAACAACTATAACTAATTTATCAGAAAGTAACTGGAATAATCCTTGCATCTGTGATCGAATTAAGTGAACCATCTCCGAAGTTGTCTCTTGGTTAGAGTTCGTCCATTATTATTTTTATTGTGATAACTAGTTATTTGAGTTGTAGTTGTTTTATTTTATTTTAATTTATTTCAAGCAATTTAGTTACTCTCATTTTCAAAAACCCCTCATGCTTCGGACTCTAAAAGAAATAAATTATCCCCAGTCCCTGTGAATTCGACCCTACTTATCACTATCTACAGAAATTATATTTTATTTAAGCAGGTATTTATTATTGCACAGGTTCGACACCCTGTCAATTTTTGGCACCGTTGCTGGGGACTGGTGCCAGATTAATTTGTTTATTTTTTAGTTCATTTTTTTTTATTTATTTGTATTTATTTTTCTCTTATTTTTTTTATATAGTTTATGGCTTCTAACACTCCGTATTTTGGTGATAGACTGGATTTTGTTTCCAAGGAAGGCAATGAGGCTTCTTTTTTTTGCTAATTTTGCATATTCAGAGGCACTAAACTCTATTAGAGAAAGAATGGCTGCTGCAACCTGTAAAATTTGTTATGTTAGGGATCATTCAACCGGTATGTGCCCCGAATATCAAGATAATCTGAGTGTCCCACTCGATAATTATGGAGATTTTTCACCCTGATCTCAAACGTGGTATAACCCTAATCCAAACGGGTATGATCAAGGATGGTGGGATAACTCCAGTTATAATTATACAACAGGGCCAATGAATTTTCAACAGTATGAGTCTCAAGAATCATCATCTATGTCAGGTATATCTCTTGAAGAAATAGTTGAATCAATAGCTACTAATACATATCAATTCCAACAGGAGACAAAAATGAGAAATGGGATGATGAAGGATGCAATGAGTAATCTGGCAGATCAAATATGTCTATTGACATCCAGAATAAATCGATTGGCTTCTCAAATTGAAGAATTGCCCTCGAAAACTATTGTTGATTTTGAAGAAAATGAGAGTGCAATTTGCTTGACCAGTGATGAGGAGATGCAAGAGTGTCAAAATGAGAGATCTACAGATGCAGTTGAAAAAGAAGCCGAAAAGGAAGAAATGGAACTCTAACCGCAACCCATTCAAGTGAACGAATCCAGTGAGTAATTACTAAATGCGATGACACCCACTCCATCCCTTAGTCTATATTCCCCTGACTCTTACTCTATAACTCGTGTTAATGAGATTGATTTTGTTATACCGGAAGTGTTTGAGTATCATTGCAGAAATATGTTAAGAGTAGCTATGGTCAAATATCTTGAACCGTTGAATGCTCTTGATGGAGGAGTGGATGAAGAATGGAGATCACTGCTTGATTATTTGACACCATCAACTAGTTCAGGGAAGATCGTAGCTCGTGTTCTGAAGGATTACTCTATTTACGAGGGCTATCAGGACTATATAGAGGATGAAGCACTGAAACGAGCCACAAGATTTTATCCTCCCTGAGCAAACATGACAATGTCTAGCCAAAAACATAAAAGAAAGGCGCTTTTTGGAAGGCAACCCAAATATTGGTTTTATTGTTTTTCGTTGTTCAATTCTTTCGTTTTGTTATTTCTCATTTGAGTAGTAATGGTCTTCATATTTTTCTCTACTGTGGCAGGAAGTGCAATCTTGGCGTGCCCACGCGGTGTTTGACGACCCAAAAATGAATTCAAAAAAATAGTTTTTTTTTTAATTCACATTGAAAAAGAAAATTTCAAAAATTAAAAAAAAACTATTTTTTTTTCGAATTTCTCTTTTTCTTCAAAAAATTCAAATTTTGAAAATTTAAATTAGGAAAAAAAAATTTGGAAAAAACATTGAAAAAAAAACCCAAAAACTATTTTTTTTCTTCTTTCTTTTTTTCTTTTTCTCTCTTTCTCTTTTCTCTTTTCCTTCTTTCTTTCTTCTTTTTCTTTGTTTCTTTCTTTTCTTTCCTTTTCTTCTTCTTCTCGGCTGCTTCCCCTGTTTTTCCCCCTTTCCTTCTTTCCTTTCGCACGCTGCCGCCCACTCTCCTCCTCTCCTCCTCGCTCGCCGCCAGCGCACTTCCAGCTCCACCACCAACTCTCCTCTAGCCTCGTCCTCGGCCAGAGCCACCACCAGCTCGCCGAGCTTCACCTGCTCTCCCAAGGTCGCACGCCGCCAGGAACTCCATCGCGCGACCTTCTCCTTGCGCGAGCTCCACCTGAGCGAACCACTACCAGCCCGTGACCGCCACTGAACCGCCGCCTCCGAGCTCCAAGCTCCACCTCACGGACCACCACCAGCTCTCCTTCGCACGCTGGTCACCAGCTAGCTCTCCCTGCCGCGACCACGCTCGTCCCTCCACCTCACTCTCTTTCTCCTCGCGCGACCATCGCGCAGCTACTCCACCTCACGCGACCCGCTGCTGCTGTCCGCCCCGCCTCCCGAGCCCACAGCCGCGAGACTGCCATCCTCAGCCTCTCCACTTAGCTCCACTCATGCGCCGCTGCTACCATCAAGCACCACCTGCCAACGCCGTCCGTATCTCCGTTTTCCCCTTGCCGTGCGTCACCACCTGTCAAAATTGACAGGTGGAGGTATTGCAGCTTTCCATTCATTTAATATCTCTCTGAACCCTCAATTGCTGGAATTTGTTTTTTTTTTCTTTTTTTTTTCTTGGGGGTCTTGATGGACACAAGCAGGAGGCGAGTTGGACAGTTTCTGGGGTTAATTTTGGTAGAACTAAGTTCATTTGCTGCTCTAATTGGGGGGGGTGCTTTCTGGTATTGATTACATTGTTGACTATTGTTTGGGTTTTGACTACTTGAGGTTTCTATTGCATCTGGGAGATAAAATTTGACGGCTGTTGTGCCAGTTCATTTGTTTGGGAATTGTTGGGGTTGATTTGGGAGGTAGTTTCCAATTGCTTCTCGTTTTGATTTCTGCTCATTTTTGGAGATACTTGGTGTGTTCGGCTTTATCAGGTGCAGTGGGTTGGCCATTTGATTTAATTTTTCCCTGTACCTGCACCAGAGGTACTGGTTGTGGTGTTGACTAAAATTTCTTAATCCTTTATGCTTGACTGCCTACTTGATTCTTGGGTTTTAGTGCTTAAATTGTTTCTCAAATTCTAAACGGTGGTTGCTAGAATTGCCTGTTGCTTGGCTCAATTGCTAATTTTGGTCGCTTGAAGTGGGTATTTGAATGTCCAATTGGTGACATTTGTTGAGTTTCACTTGCTCCAATTGGTTGAATTCATTGCTCTGTTGGGGTCCCTGTTGGTATTACTTGAGTTCTACTTTGTTAGTTTCTGTATCGTGCCCCTTGATCTTATTTTGACTGAATTGGAGATCCAGTGCATATTCATTCAATTTGCTGTGTTGTTAGGGTACTTTTCTAGCCTTTGGGGTGCCTCAGTTGTGCATTTTATTAATTGGGTTGGCCATGTGGTTCCCTTCTCTCCTGTGCATGCACCAATGGTACTGGTTGTGATAATTTGCTTACAATTCCTTATTTCGATATGATTGAGCATCTGTGACTGAGTATCCTTCGATCTTACTGCTTTGTTGGGATCGTTTTTGGTGTCAATTGAGTATCATTTGGTACTTTCTGCCTGGAGTCTATTGAGCTGCCTTTGGTTGGGGTTTATTGCATTTAATTGGTGCATTGGACGGCTCCTGTGCCATTTCCGTTGCTTATTGAAGTAGGTTGCCTCTATTTGCCTTGTGTGGGAGTATTTTGTCCTTTTCATTTCAATTGCTAAATTCATTGGAGCACTTGTTGCGGTTTTGGGATGCATTGTTATTGCATTTGGCTAAGCAGGGGACCACCCAGGGGCTAACGACTGGGTCCAACTTCGAATGCAAGTTGAGAGACTGGAGACTCGAGTGACCCACATTGACGTCGACTTGCGTAACATGGCACAGAATTTGGCAGCACTCCGCCCGACCCACTCCTGTTTTGACAACTTCAGGGAAGTACCGTTGCCCTTCTCCTTCCTTTTGCTGTTAGTTTATCACATTGAGGACAATGTGTGAATTAGGTGTGGGAGGGATCAGTTTGGGTGCTAGTATTTCTAGTTTTCGATTTTTAGGTGTTTTTCCTTTGTTTTAATTTGATATTTATCTCCCTTTTTCGCTTATTTTCTTTTCTTTTTCCGAGTGGTTAGTTCTTATTTGAATACCAAGTTTTGATGTTGGATTGTTGCCTCTAATTCTGCTATTGCCAAGTTTTATTAATAAAAGGGTATCAAGTTGATGTGGTTGAGTTCAGGAATATCTCTTTGGTGAATATCAATGATTGCTTAATTTTTTCAATTTTTGGTTAACTTTTCTAGGCATAGGGAATGATTGTTGGCATTTTTCATGTGAATTGGTCCAATTATTAATTTTAGTTCTCCATGTTTGGAAATTTGAAGCTGGCTGCTGTTATTTTTGTGATATTTTTTTAGTTATTGTGTTATGTTATCATAAATAAGAGTTGACTGTACTCCGCTAGTTATTACTACTGAGTAACCGGGGATCTTCACCTAAAGTATCGATCC